ACAAAATAATGTTACTTTCTTCGGTGACGTAATTTGTTTATGTTTATGATCCATACAGTTTCTGTATATCCGTGATAGTAGGCAGTCTGAAGTGAGGTGAAAACAAACTCAGTTCAAGCCAAAAAAAAATCAGTGTTTTGTAAAAAATCAACTAGTTCATAACATCACCACAAAAAAAAACCCACAGATTTAACTTGGTTTATCCTAAAAAAAATATATATTTCAAACAAATCAAGAACTAAACTTGCGCCTTTACCTTATAAGCAAATCGACGACAGCAGTTTACGCATTATCTGAGAAAATAACTTGGTAGGTAATGTTGAATTTTACGTTTTTGAAAGTTCTTCCTTTACCATTAAGTGCATACGACGCTTCAATTCACTAAATTATATATGAACTTGCTGGCTCAATATGCACTGTGTATCGTCAGCTGTTTCTCTTATAGTAGACAAGCAGCTGATAGACTGGTCAGGTCAGTATAATCGCCGGATGGACCAACTAGCCTTTCGCAGTTTGTCCTCATAGAAGCTCAGCCCACTTAGGCCCGAGGACATGCCTACGATGAGGGGAGGTTGGCAAATAATGTCTCGGGATGGAGGAAAACATTTAACAGCAGAATAAAAATAGCAGACCATGGTGTTAGTTCAGGGATTGGTCTGTATTCTTGGACAAGTTTGGCTAACGAATCTTTATTGTGGAATAAGCTGATGGAAGGTGATTTAATTTGACGAAATTGTATTAAAAAGTCATTTAGAAAAGTGAACAAGAGTTATGACAGTTCGATGTACTGGCTTGCTCTCTCATCCAAATCCCAAAGTATCCATGAACTTTTGAGAAAACTACAAGTTACCCCATAAACAATATACTTAAAAATGTTCATGACGAGTAACCTTGCGCAAAACTATCCATTATTTCATAAATTGCCCTTTTAAGGTCGTAATTCCTTTCTAAAGGGAACTTTCCATGTACCTAATGTTAAAAATACCTCAGCTGTACTTATTTGTTTGTTATTCTTTCAATTCATTACCTTATTAAAATCAGGCGTGATTATTTGTTTGTATTACTTTCTTCCGTTTTGTTTATTTCAGCTTAACTTTTAATAAAACCAATCAATAGTTATTATTACTTAGGAAGTCAAACGGGGTGAAGCCCGTGGGTAACAGTTAGTTTCCTTAAATTATAATCAAGATTCCGTCACACCTTGGACTAACTTAAACTTTGTTGGTGTACGCAACTCCTAATTCCTTTACATTTAACATTGTAGGTATTCGCGTCATAGCTAAGCTTGTCTATTATTGTGAAGTGATTATAAACGGGTTAATTGGTGGATTAGATAACTTACTACCTGACCGGTCGACCGTCATCAGGGGTAGAATTGAACTTTCCACACAAGCAGTGGAACTGTGGAATAACTTTCGCACTGAGGTGGGCAGGTGTTACAATTGGAGGCTGAAACTGGGGATGGTCATCATGTTATGTTACCGTAGAATCGCATAGTTAATGATTACACTTTGGTAGTTCTTCCGAACGGATTACCAAGTCATCATGTAATCGACAGTTGTACTTCAATAGCTTAGCTCATAGGAATTAAATTTTGAAATGATTAGCTTCTTTTGTTTTGGTGGCTTGGCTTTAGACAAAAGGTTCGAACGTGACCTCAGTAGTCTTCTAGACTTGGTATGTATGAATAAAAAAAAAACTTACACTATTTTGCCTAATAAATTGTAATGTACCTACTCGCATTTCATTACACCTTACAAAGTGTTTTAATATCACTTTCTTGCAATTGCACAAATTCAGTTGTAGGCTGACACAAAATAAAGATTACACTCGTCTTAGTCATTTTCTGTGGTGCTCACTATATTTAGGCGGTTTTCGGGGAAGAAGACTGTCCCCTCGACTTGAACCTTATCTATAAAATAATATCTCAGCAACTGTTAAAGCAACATACATAATGAAAAAAATACCAAAAGCAGCAACAAAATACACAAGAGTAGTGGATGAACTTTCTCTCAAACCGCCAACATGGTGAACGAAGTATAAGCTCACATAGCAGCAAGTTATCTAGTCCAAAAGCTAAAGAAGGAACGCATTACATAAAGATTTAAAAAATAACATATGAAGCAATAGGCAACAAAATGATATTGGACAAGAAAACATTCTATCTGTGATTGATTTTCAAATATTTGGTTTTACATTAAGGTACCTTTATCAGTTAAAAAAAGTAACCTTCGTCAACGTGTTAAAGTTTCGGCGAGCTGCCATTGTCAAACACTTCTTTACAGGAATACGTAGATCCGCTTGAATAGCTTCGTTCTCACAACACATTACGCGACAAACAACATTTACAAATGACACGTCACACGTACAACATAAAAAATAAATACTTTTAGTTTGATATGCCTATCACGAATATACAACATTGCCGGTACACGAGCGGGAACAGACTGTTTGTCGCATAATGTGTTGTGAGAACGAAGCTATTCAAGCGGATCTACATATTCCTGTAATGAAGTGTTTGACACAGCTCGCCGAAACATGTGACACTTTGACGAAGGTTACTTTTGGAACTGATAAAGGAAATATAAAACCAAATATTTTATATATTAAAGTTCCGGGGCTACAACTATGAAGATCGATTTTAGTTATTTTACAACTTCAATAAGCCAACATAAGCAGTCATATAACCTGTCAACAGATGTTAACGGGCAATGTTCAATGCCATTGACATAACAATGACATAACTCAAACAAAGCAGTGGCAAAGCAGCTGTTATTGTGTAAATGATTCAGATTGGGTACATTAACTAGGTCGTGTAATGAAGCTAACACCTTTAAAATGTAATTTGTACAGACTTTTAATTCTATATTAATCAAGTTAGGTAGCTAACGCAAGTCCTAATTATTGAACCGTTTTAGTGAATAGAGAATATTTAGAGACATACTGTACTTTTATAAAAATTGATTGTGCAAAAATTTAAATTTATATTAATTTAAATTTTATTGTGTGTTTTTATTGTGCAAGGTATGTACTACAATACACAATACCACAATGTATACTCAATTCTTAGATCAGTGTAGGGCATGAAGAATATTGAGAAACATACTTTAATAAAAATGGAAAAATATGACATAAAATATAAATATGACAGGTACCAGAAGGGGTGCACATTTTATAAATGTAGCATAAACTAAACCAAAGAATTACGTATTACATTGAAAAGTGCAATACTATAATATTCAGTTTACTAACTATGTTATGTTACGTTTCTTCGGAGTGGTTTTGTCAAGAAGATGCACGTACCCCTGAGTCCGAAGTCAACCGGTGTTCCGGTATTATGAATGCCACTTCCAGTAAACTATAAAAAGTACAGTATCGTATTTCAAGTTGTGTGATCCTACAAGTTTTCTTTTTTCTAGCCTAATCACCGAGGATGCAATCTGCAACTTTGCAGTACGTGAATTTCCTCAGATACAAGGGGAAAGTTAGTCTATTGTCTGTGAATTCATATAACAACGCGGTTGACAATGTAGAAATGAAAAGGGGTTTCATAATCATGATACCGGCAGCGAAATCCTACGTTTAAAGATGTGTCCCAGTAAAACTAATCAACAAAAAGTCTACTAACCCTACAGAGTAAGACTGAGTTTTGATTTTCCTTGTGTATCATGTTGAACAGATAATATAATGGTCTACACACTTTTAGTGTGAGTGCTTACGTTTAACCGGTTTTATTTTGCACTGTATTTAAAAATAACACAATAAATTATTTGATACGAACATTGTATATTTTTAGATGTTGTTTTTAACATTTAAGTAGTCTTACATGCAATACAAATACCATACACAGAACAAGGGTTAATCTAAACACAGTATTTAATTTCTTCCCTCCTATGACGTCAATAACGCTTGAGAACATAACTTACCGTTAATATAGAAATCGACAGTTGGTTAAGATTTTGCACTGCACCAAACTACCATATGTTAACAATTGACAATGTAAAAACCATATGATTACTGATGTTTTGAATATTCTAAACACAAACATTTTCATGGAAGTAGTGTTTTGAATTTCGTAAATTTTTATAAACTACCAAGATGAAGAAATATTTTGCTGGTGTCATATTGTGCGTGCTTTTGTACTTATTTGTTGTTTACTCAGTCATGTACTCTATTCTTTACATGATTGATATGATTTGATGTGGTGTTACCGAACTGGGATCGTTTGACTGCATTTTGGGTATGCTTATTTAGAAGTTACATTTTAACAAATAATACAAAAATGTGAACAATCTATTAGCTGTAACTGAAGTGGACGTTAGGTTCAGTTTGAACCCGAATTATGTAATTTTTTACGTCTACATTAATTTAATAAACTAATTTTACAAAAACCCATGCAATGTGTGTATCTTTAATTTTTGAATAATTTTGAAAATGTTAAATGAATGAATGATATTTTGTTGTGTCGATATACAATGAACCATACAAATTATCTTACGCAGCTGTTGTTTTAAACGATAGAAAAAGTAATTCACTTAAAATATGCGATTGGCAAAAACAAATAATACATCGCACCTCTCATGTTTCTGTTTTAACAGATTCACTGGGTTATTATGGCGAGTTACTTACTTTAGTTTGATTAGAACTATTAACTATGCTAGTTAAACATAATGATTGTTAGTTTGCAAAACTTTGCCCAACCTCCATTTGGTACCGGTGAGGTACATATCAAATGTGCCTGTAGCAGGCTTTTGAAATGAGAAATGATCAACGACACGAAGAAGTAAAATATATCCCTATATCCGTAACAGAACGAAGCTCATTTCGGTATATGACATACTAATGATGTATTTAAGACAAACGAATTATATAACTGTAACTGTACTGCAAAACTAGACTTGCCAAATACAGTTTGACACAAGTTGTTGTTAGGCCTAATCGACAGGAACGTTGTAAAATATTTCACGCCAATTAAAGTAATGTGAAGCAATTAAGCATACCTGTTAGTGCAGTCCTGTTGTAAGTCCATGTTGTTCTGGAGGCCAGCGCAGCATAGACTGAACTGTTGAGGTGAGAATTGAGATCAGCTGTGAAAGGCACTACTACCACCACCACTAAACAGCTGACCGGCCCTTCCACCATGGACCGGCCGGCGGCGACATAACCTCAAAACTCACCTGACCTGACCCTACCACTAATCCATGTGAACTTTGCCGGGTTTTGGGCTCACCGGTATGTGGAATGTATATTATCATGAATCAAGTATTTTTTATTCATGGTCGCCCACGAAGGGGGGGGCATTGTCCCCTGAAAAACATTGGCGTATACTTGACTCTTTTTAATAGATTAAATTGTGTAAATCTTTTCAAGAATACAATGCAATGGTCTTGCATTGAAATAATAGTCGTGGAAATTTACTTACTAACCAAGCCAAGTAAGCAGGGAAAATAGCTGCAATTAACACAGTACAATCTTTTCGCAGCACACCATATAAGTTTGCGAAAGCTTCATCCAGTCTATGACTTTGATTCACTATTCACTATACCGGGTGTACAGCTGACCTCTTTCCCCGTCGTCTATTTTTTTCACACATAAATAGTTCAAAACCGATAAACAAACCGACAAGGGTCCTTCTTGTTGATTTTAGCCAAATGAACAAAGTTGGCAGCACTGGCACCCCCTCCCCCAAGGACATAATACAAAATCAGCTGATTCAAAGTCAGCTGCATAAAAGGGGCCTAGATTCCACCCAACGCGACGATTTCACCCAACCGAAAACGTCGATGATGAAAGAGGATAGTTATCGCAAATGGGAGACGCACAGGAAACTGTAAACGTTTGAATTGAAAGGGCATATCAGTAGGGGATTTTTGGAATACGTGGCAAAAGAACTTCTTATTACTTAAATTTGCCATTGGTGTGCAGAACCCCTTTATAAACTAAAATGGGCTCAGAAATAAGCACACAAAATAAATTTTAAATTTGAAAAAAATGCTGATTGCTGGTGACGAAATAACAAAAAATATAAATAACAGAAAATGTTCATTACATATTTTTTGTCTAGTTTTCGACCACTGGACGACCTCTAGTATGCCTATAAACAAATTTGTTCTCCATAAGGATAACATGGAAACTTTAAAGTCAAATGGAGCAGAGCCCTACGGAGTTTTTCAAAATTTTATTTCACAGAAACTTTTTCGGGGGTGTATAGAACTAGAACAACTCAAAGTTTCGTTACGATCGGTTAGCCGGTTTGGTAACGCATAAAGGACAAACAAACGACAAACATACATTGGATTATATAATATATATAATAGTATATTTCGTACCTAGGGCCGAAAATGAGGTTTTGCAGGCTCGAGATAGTTTTTAAGTTAGAGACGAAGTCGATCGAGAGCTGTAAAATCATTTCGGTCCGTGGTACGAACGCTATTTTGCACCACAATATACCCTCACTATTCACCACAATAAGAATGTACACAAACAGTCAACACAACTACAACTTTAAGGTTATGTGAAGAAATCACTGAGGAATCAGCAAAAATAATAATAAATAGTTGCTAGGCAATGGTGATACTGAATGTGTATTTAATATGCATTCATGTTTTAAGAAAGTAAGCGGACAGCTGAGTTTGCGGCCCAAGGGATGTAAAAACCTGCTCAGTCCCCACATGACGATGACAGCTGGCATGGCCAGCAAAAAGTAACTTTCAGCCACCAATTACGTGTGTAAAACAGCTAAAACATCATAGTGTGGTGAAAAATATATTATAACTAGCTGTACCCGCGGGCTTTGCCCCGTTTAACTTCATATGTGAGCTCGTTCGCATGGCTCAATCACGTCCTGGTTGAAGTTCGTTCGCTACGCTCACTCACCTTTAGGTTGGAGCTCGTTCGCTGCGCTCACACGTCCTGGTTGAAGTTCATTCGCTACGCTCACTCACCTTTACGGTTGGAGCTCGTTCGCTGCGCTCACTTGCCTTCAGGTTAGCTCGTTCGCTACGCTAACTCGCCTCCGGGTTGAAGTTCGTTCGCTGCGCTCACTCACCTTTTGGTTGCAAATTAGCTGTTGTCATAAATTTAAAAAAAAATAATAGTGCTGCACTCTGTTGGTAATCCTAGTAACTTTAATGCTATTGAACCTCACAGAACAGAACCAACTTGTTTAATTGAAACAGCTGTTATGATTCATTAATTCCATTTAAATATGAGTACTCATTAGGTTAACATGGGAAACTCCAAAGCCACTGGGGCGGAGCCCGAGAGTCCGATCAGAATAAAAACCACTCAGTTTTCCTATTTAATGCCTAAAGAATCAGTGTACCAAATTTCAGCCTTCTAGGTAAGTGGGAAGTGGGAGAATTAGTGATGAGTGAGTCAGTCAGTGAGGGCTTTGCCTTTTATACAGGGTGTCCCGGAACTCTCTACCAATATTTTAGGGCACTGTTCCTGGGTAAGAAACATATCTAAATATCATATTTAAATTGTCCGGAAGTCCTTATTTACTCAGATAGCCGCCATTTTGTTTTTTTCACTTATTAATTTTTTTCTGAAGATTGGTTAAACATACGAAGTTGAAACTTTGCACAAACATTTATGACAACTAGACAAAGCTACAAAAAAATTATGACGATTTTTCAAATTCATAAAACAAAATGGCGGCTGTTTAAAATTTTGTTTCTTAAATTACTCAAAAACCGTTGATTTTAAAAAAATTTTACGAGAATAACTTTTTTAAGGCAATTTTATTACAAATCGATCGACACCTTAATCTTTAAGATCGGACGAGTATTAACTGAGATATGGCAGTTTTAGTGATATGTAGTGATATTAGTATCACTAAAACTGCCATATCTCAGTTAATACTCGTCCGATATTAAAGATTTATTCGTCGATCGATTTGTAATAAAATTGCCTTAAAAAAGTTATTCTTGTAAAACTTTTGTGAAATCAACGGTTTTCGAGTAATTTAAGAAAAAACATTTTAAACAGCCGCCATTTTGTTTTATGAATTTGAAAAATCGTCATAATTTTTTTGTAGCTTTGTCTAGTTGTCATAAATGTTTGTGCAAAGTTTCAACTTCGTATGTTTAACCAATCTTCAGAAAAAAATTAATAAGTGAAAAAAACAAAATGGCGGCTATCTGAGTAAATAAGGACTTCCGGACAATTTAAATATGATATTTAGATATGTTTCTTACCCAGGAACAGTGCCCTAAAATATTGGTAGAGAGTTCCGGGACACCCTGTATATATATATACTGTATTGGTTTGGTATACAGTCAATGGTGGTGATATTGTTTTGGTGTCGGTAAGGCAGTGCACTGCAGTTAGTTCTCAATGACGTGTACAGAGTGCCTCCAGCTCTCTTTGATAAACCTTATCATAGGTCTGATTTATCTATCGGCGGTAAGAAGTGAATATTGATCTTGCTTATTTGTGTAATGTGGACCTTGAAATAACGTTTCAGTAAAACATTGAGTCTAAATCAATACTAATTTTAACGGAATAGTCAAAAATTAAATTTTAATAAACAGTACCAACAAACTTTCACAATGCTTTCTCCCTTTGGCGTCGGAAAGCGGTGGGAGTAAATACTATGCTATTTTATTGGTAAAACAAAGAAAATTGCGTTAAAAATACGTTAAAAAACGTTTCATACGTTAAAACTGTAAACGTAAAATTTACAGCATTTGGGATTTGGGATTGTACCATTTTGTGTTAAAAGGACCACATTATACAGTATTAAGTTACATTTTATTCTAAATAGGTAAAACCTTTTTTTAATCCGATTTTCCATTATTTTATGGGAACTATACCATTAAAATCAAATTTACAAAAAAAACCTGGAAATACCATAAAATTAGTAGAGTTTAGTTTAACTAGCATGTAAACGTATTTGAGATAGAAAAAACTAATAATTGGTCTGATTATGTCAACAGTTGAATGCATAGGTACTTAGCTCTGATGCTCCTGCACAGCACAGATGGTCCAACATAAACGGGTTAAAAATGTATCAACCCATAAGCATTGTTACATCTGCGAACAATTACAACCTCTCAAGGCATTTCAAAATCAAATTATTCCAGCAGATAACGTATGTCTCTATTAGTTTTAACTTAGATAAAACATACTCTTTTAGTAGATTTATCATTGATATGGAACAGCTGAAGCCAATTTTATTGCTACTGTAGTTCCATCCGGTGCATTGTAAAGGTCGGGGTTTGTTTCCAATTTGTTTCTTGTTATTTCAGTCATTGAGTCATTTAAAACCTCGTTTAACCAAATAAAACTATATAATCATTAACAATAACTCATGCCCTAGTTACATAACTAAACAGTAAAGCACAACTCATAAAATTAACCCTTCAATAATAGAAACAAAATTTCGTTAACACCGGATATGAACTAGACACGAAAAACGAGCTTCAAAATTTACAATGGGATGAGAAGTCCTAAGTTTTAATTTTGGTGTTCATGTAATAGGGCTGCTGTTATATTCAATTATAGCAGTTAATAAAGCACAACTGAGCTACTGAGCACCCTGAAAAAAATAATAATTATTTCAGGGTGTTCAGTTGACTACTATAATTTAATTTCTCTATTAGTGTACAGCCGCTATAACTCTTCATAAAGTTTCTAGGCCCAGTTTAAAACTCTTAAATCAAATATGTTATTTCTCCCTTGTCAAATTAGCCCATTGTCGTATTACTGTGATATACTAACTTCAATATTATTAATTCTATAATATTGTGGTATAATTACCTCGTCAAGTAATCCAAATGATGTGATGTTAGGCTAAAAACCTACATGTTTCGCCGTTAATACGGCATCGTCAGAGTACAAACACAGTAAGACATTGCTGTCACACGCATACAATAAATAAATAACACGAAACGAATTACGAACATAACATTTAGATATGCCTATCACACGACGCGGACGGTCCCGGCGCAGGTAGTAATCCAGGGGCCATCAACATGGAATTTAATTATTAATTCCTAAACGTCTGGAATTCTTACAGTCTTAAACTGGTTCAGTGATGTTTTATTTGTATATACTTGAAATATACACGTTATGATGGTCATAAGTATGCCCTATACAGTTGGCATATTTGTAAACAATAAATTTTTTTAGTTATTATGCATTATGCCAACAAATGACGATCGAATAACCTTAGTAATTAACCATAAACAACATGCATGACGATATCTACTCCTCCCCTGCCAAACAATGAGGTTTAATTGAGTTGTCTATTGTGGGAGGGGGGCAGCTGCAGTAGGGGAGGAACAACAGAATTTGATAATGTTGCACCACCGTCCAATATCGTAATTTACTAACATTATACTGCAATTGAGACGTAATACATTCTGAATGGAACCAATTATAGACATGTTTTTGTAAAATTATAAAACACGCGTAAGCAGGAGTTTGGTGTAAGCAATTTTACAAATTCTTGTTTATGCTATGTTGACAATTTCCTACATTGTAATTGTCCTTCTGTTTACATTAAAATATAACAATGACATATTTTTCATAACTTACCGTTATACAATCATGTTTTATTTCCATAATCAATTACATAAATAAACCTACCACATATTTGTGTAAAATATTTTATTTAATTTGTTTGGATCAGCTGTCTGAAATTGTGAAATAAACATTTATCAGTTCTGGCTGTTTACATTGAAATGTTAAAGCAAAGGTAAACACAGTTTGTGAATTTTCTCATGCTTCCATGGAGACCAATTAATATATACTATTGAAAGCCTCCAGTGGCGGTCCCAGGATTTCATTTCGGGGGGGGGGGATGACCATCGAGATTCGGCGGGGGGGATGGAATATCCTCCAGAAAAATGTGGAATTTAAAGCCTATAAAAGTATTTTTATACGTAATTGAGCTCTAAAATATGATCAAGCTATTTAGTATTTATGTTATCTAATAAAATATAAAATATTTCGGGGGGTGGTATATCCCTCCCATCCCCCTGCACCACAAAACTTTGGACATCCAAGGGGCGGAGCCCGAGAGGAACTCAGGGAAGCGAATAGTCCTAGTATATAGTCAATGGTCCTATCCTATGACATTCCTAGGTATGTGGACAATATTTGTGCTTAATTTGGGCTGTCACGGATTGGGTTTAGTATTTTAGTGGTGGCAGCCGGACAGACAGACACCAACTCAATGTTATAATAATATAGATATCGATTAAGGTGATGCATCTGGGGTTTATTTAGATTAATATACTAGAAGGGTCAATGAATCATGAAAATTAATTTTAGAACAGTTTAGTACACATCAAAATAGTATCTAGGCACCACTCAAACATATTTACTCATGGGTGTTTTAATATGTAAAGATGTAAAGGGGGGTTCCTTAAACTTAATTTGTCTAAGCCTATCACTGTTTAAAATAAACACTCTCGTCCAGCAAACCTGCAGAACCAGTTTCCATTTGCCTGATTTTTTCACAAACATTTCCATAAATCTGTCAGCTTTATTACCTGTTAAATAAATTTTCCAACTTCGATCCAACTTTCATAAACAAACAAATTATAACACTACTAAAGAGATAAGAAAGAAAGGGCAAAAGTTTAAATAAAAACTTTGGAAGCCAATTTTACCCCCAAAAATGCTGATTTTGTTAGATTTTTATCTAATCCCAAGAAATTTCACGTCGGGGTTAGACACCATAGTGTCTGGTACTTCCCTAATACTGAAAATTATGTTCAAGGGTTTGCCCTCATTTAAAAGAACCCTGTTGGCAGAAAACATTCTGTGGCCCTGCCGATCCCATGTAGAACCAAATTTATGGGGTAAAAATGTCACTACTGTAACAATATTTAGCATACTGGTGTAATCAGTGTATTGAAAAATATTCTCACTAAGATTACAAGGTATGTAATTTACTGCAATACAAACAGCACAGGTCCAAGAACAGACCCTTGGGGAACACCACAGTTGCCACTTGCAATAGAAGAAATCTTCAGTGCAGTTAATTTGTAATGGGCTTAAATGCAACAATATTATTTGAGTAATTAAGAATCATACACTTAAATTCCCATCTGTTAGATAAATTATTAGCTAAAAATGCATCCCCCCCATCACAAAACCAGTAAAGACTAGATTTTTTTAACAACAATTATTTTATCATATTCCATTTATGTTATAACCTAACCTGCCCTAAATGTACACTGTATGGGTGTACCGTATCGCCATGTATCTATTAGTACATATAGTTCACCCCCGTGTAGTGGTGAGGGGGGGGGGGGGTGCAGTGTTTTGATTGGTGCAAGAAGAGCACGCGCGACACGGACACGCCCCTCCCCCTCGACACGCGACACGACACACGTCAGTAGCACGTGTACACGCGGCGGTGTGTGTAAAGTGTCATCATCATTTAGCACTCCTCACTCCTACTACCTGCTGGTGAGTTGTGATTTTTATCTTAGAGTAAGGGAATGTATACTGTGTATGATGGTACCGAGGAACTCTTACACTTACAGCGTATGAATCAAATCAATTTTATTAAACAGATAGATGAATTTATTTGTATTATTTAACTGTATATGAAACAGCTAGGATGTCAGTGTCAGTTAACAAAGCTACACAGATAATCTCAAACCATTCTACACTCATCCTTAACTCATATTTGGGTTAAAATACACACCCCATCTCAAACAATTAATAATTGATGGAATATATATTTTCATTTTAATAACAGAATATATTATAAATAAACAATACATGTGAATAAGCAATAGCATTTAAAAATAAACGCACGATGATTTATAGTAAAGATAAATCACAGTAAATTAAAAATGCCCCTGCCGCAGCAAACCTGCAGACTGAGCTAATTTCCATTTGTCTGGTTGTATTTTCACTAACTTAAGAGAGATTTTCCTCTATTTAGATTCAACTAATTTTAACGAGTCCAACCTAGATTTGCTGCTGCAGAGAAGGCATAAGTTCCTAAATTCCGTTGAAATAAAATGATCGTGAATGAAAATAATCTCGAGTGATCGTGCTTGTGGACACACATACACATAAAGATAGCACAACCCGTCGTGGCCAACGATATTACATCGTTAGTGGCTTTGCTCACGGATATTTAAATTTAAAAGCTAAAGGTTTAATCTCATAACAATAATTTTTAAACATCATTGATATAGTTTGAAAATAAAATGGTTTTTTTATAAAACTATTCATATATGTATAAATGAAGAGAACATTTGTAATGTTCGACTTCTGAAGTCGATAAGACGTTGTGATTAGTTTTTCCAAAACAATATGAAATCATGCATGAAAAAGTGAAACAAACTTATTTGAAAACACAAAATCTAGTGTAAGTCAATTTCTTCTTCACATTTCATACAAATAACATTATTGGTGTTGAATCAAGGCAACACTAAATGAACGTGTGGCCTTGCTTTAATTCACTAAAAAACATTACCAACTGTAACGATAACACCATTTTCGACTGTAACGATAACACCATTTTCGTAGCCTATAGATGTCAAAATTCTATCATGGCCATCTGTTTTGATGTAAACAAATGTAAACTTGAAAAAGTCCAGATGATGACAGAGTCCAGATGATGACAGAGTCCAGATGATGACAACAGAATCAGCACATTCGAAGAAAAAGCCTATAGGATGAAGGGCTTACACGGAATATCATCCGAACCTACAAAAGGCTAAATGTTAATCGGGAATGTGAGCCATCGTCATGCCAAATTTCAGCCCAATCCGTCCAGTAGTTTATGCGTGATTGAGCAACACACAAACATTCACATTTATAATACTAGTAAGATACACCGACAAACACACTCTGGGTAAACTAAAAATAACAAGCCTATAATACAGCTTTTTATTTAATTTATCTTATTTTATTTAATGTGCTATATTTTAAGATGGAAATACTACGTTACGAACAACGTATTAAAAGTGTACAGAAAAATGCTATGTAACTGATCTATAAAATGTATCTTATGTGACGTTGACCTAGTGTGTGTGTATGTGTGTGGGTAGAGGCATAGTGATACCATTTGATACTGTGGAAAAATGATCATAGTCAGATGAATATGATCGTTATTGAATTGCATGTTGTACATTTGATTGGGTTTTAATTTTGTTTACACTATCATAAAAGTAAAGATATAGTAAGACAAAAACACTATTGATTTCATTTTAGCAGCAAACCCAAGTACTCCGTTAATCCAATACTATTTAAATAGGGAATAATATGAGATTTTTAAGGAGTTATTTTATTGAAAATCCAATCAGGCAAATTGAAATTAACTTAGTCTGCAGGTTTGCTGTGGCGGGGGTATTGTTTATATAGATTCAAGTTTTCAGATCACCCGTGACCCGTCAAACAGTGTAATACAAAATATGCCTGATACGTGGTAAATGTGTGTAAAAACTCAAGTTGTTAGGGTAGTAGATAGCGTATATTAGTTTTGATAAGGTTTGAATATTGACATTTTGGAGTGTAAAGACCGCAATTGTTGTCTGATTATGTATACTTTTAAAAGGTATACTGGTACACAACATAATGCATAACGGAATCGTATAAAATCATATTTTCATATATAATTTACAGTTTCCCACATACTAGTGGGGTTAGTGTCATGATAACAACAAACTCCCATAGTAGTCGTCACATTCCCATATTAAAGTTGTCGCCATGGACTAACCAACTAAGGGAGTACCTATGTTTTATCTATGGTTGTGGCCAGTAGTTGTATTATCAAAGTGAACGTACAGTAGTACCATTGACTTTTGGATACTGAAGTTGTATTGATAGTCAAAGGAATTACTGTATAATTAATAGTGCGATGATGTCAAGTAATGATTTCTTACGATGCACCAACTGTTACACCAAGCAAAACAGAAAAGACAGCTTATTCGAAACTATAGCATATTTTGTGTCTCATCAACAAGAGAACACTAACTTCTTAAAAATTTAAAGAATAACACATAATATTTACTGCAGTCATTGACGATACACGAATACGGTCATGGTAAGTCCATGCATCAATATAATCTATGAGTGACTTATTCAAAAACATTCTATCTGGATAACAAATTGGCTTTGGTATCCAAATGTCAACAATAACCAAGACGTCACAGAAACATTATGTTGCAGGCAAACCATGTAATGATCTTGTGATATGTACAACATGGACGTTAGCCTGGAGCTGGAACGTCACTTTCTGCTGGACAACCACAGTTTCTCCAGCGGCTCCAGCGCCGAGCTGTTCCTGTGTGACGACGGCGAAGACTCCTGTCTCAGCGACTGCTCCTCTTACAGCTATGCTAGCGACCATGAGAACGGTGAGTGCAATTTACACTGCAAAATTAGTCTTTGATAATGCCTTAAGAGCAATATCTTGCTTTTTAGATTTTTATTCAGGAATTGTTATAATGAAATCGATAGATATTTGTGATTTCCTTTGAACTCCATACCTTACTGGACCTTACTGCAAGGCTTCCTTGGTTTGCAGTTTTTCTAGAAATGATTTTTAGAATGCCATATTAATACAGTACAGTATATGTAATTAAACTGTATATCTTATTGAACTATACTACAAAACGTGTAGTTCCCTTGCAATGTAGTTTTATAATCAAGGGTTTCTGGATAGGATTTGTACACTTTGATATCTCAGGAATATCTCTAACAAAAAGGCTCATAAGTTATGAACAAACTAAGATAAGGGTTGGTCAGATACGATATCTTTATGTGGCCTGTCTGAGGAGTAGACCAGTGATCTGATTTACATATAATAGATACACAGGATTGGTAAGGCGCTTGGGGGATTAATTATTTACTTGTAAAAATGCAAACTTGTCCAGTTTAATTTTTTACTTCCTTTCATAATGTTGAAAACTGACCATTAGATAACAAACAGATACATTCGGATTGGACTTAAGGAAACATAATCCCATCGATACAAGGTTTTTTGGTTTTAACAACTCCTATATTATTTTTTCAATGTTTTAGGAGGACAAAGAAGAACGAGAAGACGAGGGAAATGTCCTCAACAGCAAGTCCAGCAGAGGCAAGCCGCCAATCTGCGAGAGAGAAGAAGAATGCAGAGCATCAATGATGCCTTCGAGGGCCTCAGAGCTCACATACCCACACTGCCGTACGAGAAACGACTGTCTAAGGTACACATTGAATCTACAGCAATTTACCTAACAGTATTTTCACAATAGTTCTGCCAAAAATTCCAACGACACCTTATAAGATCATTGTAGATATTGAAACTGGGGCTTCCTCTTGTACAACCTTGTTCGCATTTTACTAGTGAGTATGGGTGAGGTAGTGAGGACATGGAGAGAACAGAAGAGGAAAGGTATTGAGTAGAGAGGTTTCGTAGCTAGGTGATTCTAGGTCTTTTCAAGTTAGGTCTCCTCAAGTTATCCACGTATATTTGCTGTGTACCTTGCCACTTTTGGTTTAAATCAGCTTATAATCTAATTGAATAACATTACCAAACGCTCAATATTTTCATTTATGTGGCCTAGGAATATATGTGTATTGTGCTTGATTAATTAAATTCTTCATCCATCTTTACACGAAGGATGTTTTTTTCTTGGACTTTTGGAGATTTTTTCAATAATTGGTTAACTAGGAAAGATGCTTGTCCAATAACTTGAAATGATTTTATTTTCCTTTGAAAATTGGACTAAAGGATGCTAGAAAGCAGGATTTTAAAATTCAACCGACTTTTGCAGGTGGACACACTGAAGCTGGCCATAGGCTACATAAACTTCCTGAGTGAGCTGGTCAGGGCTGACCGAGGTCTTGGCGACAAGGGCGCTCCTCTCGGACGACCCCGGAACTGCAGGGACGACGGCAAGAAAGTCATCGTGAGAGGTAAGATAATAGTCAGACATATCGTCTTTAAAGAAACTAGAATCATGTAGAACATAAAGTAAAAGCTAGATCACTTTCATGTTATGTTACTGTGTTTATAAACATAAACAATTGTGATTCCATTATTTTGCAGTCAGCAACATTGAGTTGTTCCCATCTGTTCTAGCCATTTGTCGTAATGGAGTTTGCACAGCACCGAAACCCAAAATGATGGCTTTGACATTCAACTCATCTCAACATTATATTTCCTTCAAGGAAAAACATAAAAATCCGTCAAGTGAAGGGGGTGGAGTTCAGTATCTTTGGACAAACCCCTTTCACGTTTTAATATAAAGAAATAGCCCCTTCTCATAAAATATACAATTCCTTGAGCACGTTGTATTTGCACACTAACACCACCAATTTAACCTACAATTTTCAAATAATTTTAAAGCCATATGAACCACAAAAATAGTATTTGTAATTTTATTAAAAGCTGTTCTTTTAATTAAAACCGAAATTTGAAGTATTTTAAAACTTAAAAATTAAAAACCCTATATCGCTACATCATCTATCGAAACCCCCTTTGTTTATGTTGGTGTTTTAAATCGTGACGTCACGTGTTATTGTTGGAAACAGCTGCTCTTCTTCCCCTCAACACTTCGCCCCTCACCTTGCATTTGGAGCGGAACTCCGACACAATGGTATTAATACACTGGACCCCATTGGTTCCGCAAATTGAGGGCTAATTCAAGGGTCGAGTTGAGCAGATAGTTGCAGGGGTGTCGTGTTAATTGCAGCGTAACATCGATACTTTGTATCTCGCTAAGGGGTGAAGTGTTGGGGGGAGAGAAACGTTTTAGAGCACCTCGAGGAGTGAGATGTGTATTTTATGTCATAGTGGATGCAAAATTGTAATTCAATAAATTTTTTTTTAACTTTGTTTTTGTTTATAGAACTGTGTATGTGTTCTTCAGTCTCAAAAATAGCGCATTTATGACTTTTTTATGCGGTTTGTTACTGCTTTCCTCTTTGTCAGCCCTTTCATTTTCCGATATTGATAGCCTTCCAAGTTCCAAGGCATACGGCACAAATGCGCCTTGCGTGATACCTCATTTGATATGTTAATATTAGCTAGTAACTACTTAATCGATTGACAGGGTCACATATTGGAGGTTACAAAGTTCCTCGCTCAAATCTGGTGCTAGTTGTCACTTAGCTTGGGAATTAGCAATTAGGCATAAAGTTAAATCTAACTTAAAAGTTAGTAAAATAATGATAAAACAAACCCTATTATAAATTATTTTGAGGGTTATTTAATTACCCTGATTACTAATAAGGACTTTCATTTTATAACAAGAAATTGTTTTATCAAAATTATAAATCAAACACCAATCCCCTTTTTTACTCAATATCCTACCATGGCAGAATATCGCCCATGGTTCCTCCCTCTGTACACCTACTGTGAACTCATCAACGCACACACACACTTGTGTGACACGCAGAACACTTACATCCAGGTGGCGGAATCCCTCAGTGAATCATCGTGCACGTGCGAGATATTACATCACAACAATCAATCATAAACTCGCTCACTTCCGGTGCCAATCTACCGGAACCACACCTGCCCTCGACCCCGACCCCTACATTAACAATTTACACAACTCGTGCTGGTTTGTTGGACGATTTGTTAATTTGTTTTCGTATTCATGCCAGAAGTGTTTAAGTTTAAACTTGAAATCTTTTTAAAACCGGGGTTTCCTAGGCGCGGAAGTGGAGAGCGGAGAGAGGAACGCGGAGAGCGGACTCCCCTTGTCTTTGGTAATTTAATGTTACTGTTTTCCTAGAAGCTGAGCGGAACACCATGTTAATCTCTTTTCCGCTCTCCGCTTTCCTCTCTCCGCTCTCCGCTTCCGCGCCTAGGAAAACCCAGCTTAAGGGAGGCTCACTATAATGTTTAACACTCTTAGTATAACTAGTCATATGGAGTTATAAAACATAAGCAATAATCTTATGGTAAAATAGTCGGTCTGTAGTTGGTGATTCTTGTGGGCATCTCCTTGTAAAATTAATCAATCTTGCATCACAGCCAATAGACAGTTTCAGATTCCTATTCGTCTCAAGCAGTGTAGTCTCTTTCTCTTTTATCAGGTAAGACGCTGAGCTGTATTTGTCAAGCCCTGACGATTCAAAGTTCACTATCATTTTCTCTCCATACATTTGTTTACTGCGCATATTTCATTTTCTACTGATTCATTATGATTTGTTCCATTTCCTCATTTCAGGGACAATAACATCAAAAACTTTTTTTCAAAAAAAACTTAAGTGGATACACAGACACTAAGATCTAGTGAAAATTACTCGCAAATACTACATCTATCCCTTTTAGCGAATTTCCCTAAAGGGAAGTAGCTATTACCGTAGGTGGCACGGTAAGACCTAGGCCCGGGACCGATTTACTTTTTCATTTTGATGTCCCCAGAGGCCAAAAACACCATTCGTTCAAATTTTTATATATGTATATATATATATATATATATATATATACGTCCGTGAACGCGATAACTTGAGTAATTTTTGTCCGATTTTGATGAAATTTGGTTTAAAGGTGTAAAGCGGGAAAAACTTGAATGAGTTCGCGAACCAGCATGATCGGACCATGGGAACGGGGCTTTACGGGGGGTTTTATGGGGTAAAAATTGGTTTTTCTCACTTTTGACCCTCAAAACACAAAATATCCCAATTTCTCTTTAGACCTTTTTAAAGAGCTTAAAAAAAACAATTTAGTATATAAAAGTATTTTTGTTCGGTTAATAGTAACGGAGAAAATTAAAAAAATTGTAAATTTAAAATTCCCATGTTATTCTTATGGAGAATATTGTTAAATGTTGTAGTTTGCTTGTTTATGGATATATTTTGTATTTTGAACAAATTTATTTATTTTGTACTAAGCTATCAATATTAAAAAAAAAACACACTTTATTAGTTTCCTTGTAGCAGCAAACCTAGCTACTCGTTAAACCTAATGTTATTAAATATATTTAACTGAAAATCAATTCAGACAAATGGAAATTCGCTTAGTCGGCAGGTTTGCTGCGGCGGGGGTATTTATTTACCTAAAGCACCAATTACTACTCGTAGACCTCTCTCCATTGGCTGCATACTTGACATGATCGAGGCAAGACTCGAAACCTAAATCTACGGCTTTGTCCCCTGGACGGGGTTGAATCTCAAAGTGTTTAACAAGCTACTTTAATCCGTGCTAAGTTTTTAATCCAACTATTGAGGTATAGTTCGATAGCAAAGTCCTCCAATGTCAAGGTGTTCCATTGTCAAAATATTCCGAGTTTATTACGTCGTAACTAAACGCTTTGAGTTGAAGGGAGAAATGAGTTGCTTTAACGCCGGAGCATTTTGTCGCTGACGTTTGGACCACATTGTCTGAAACAACCCGATCCGTTTAGTTTGAAATCAGTGTCCAACTGAGATTGCCTGTTTATTGTAAACTGTGTGTGATGTTGCCGATTGCAAATAGCTAGCAATATATTTTAGATCAGATTTTTACAAAACGGCATGTTCCAGGAGCCTACGGTTCGCCGTACGCCGTCCACTCCCTGTCTTGGCACTCGGACAAGGAAAACAGCGCCAGTGGGGTGATGTACGCCAAGGTGTGGACCCCTGAGGACCCCAGGGCCAACAAGTCTGGCGGCTCCTTCAGTATGGACAACTAAACACAGAAATTGTCCATACATCCTCAGAGACGATCTCGCGACTTTTACTACTTGTTCAGTAGTTTTTCCACATCACAAATTTTTATTTAGACGTCGGGATGCCCTAATTTCTACCTTGAAGAGACGTAACGTGTGTATATTGTCCTACTCTACGATTAATTCTTGTTTTCCTTCATCCTCCACGCTTTCTTGGTTATTGGTTACAGCCCTTAATCTTCAAAGCGAAGATTTATCTTAGTTATACTTTAAATTTCCACTCCATACGTGTATACATGCACACTAAACCTTCTTAACTCAGTATCTATACATACGACAGAGCTTAACCTTCATTAAGTTATTCATTATTCACTCTTAAAAACACTGAACCACAATGAATAGGTAGGAGAATAAAAGTCGTACTTTTTCAATGTGATTAGTTTTTCGTATGCTGAAAATGTACATTATAATTTCATTGCGTTTAGGTTGATGTAGAAAAACCTAACACACAACCACATCATTCTGTTTTGTTAAACTTGTATTGTTATCTAGTCAAATCTAGTCCACGAAAACAACAAAGGCTTTACTAAACCATTGAATCCTATCTATTACTGTATCTCTATTGTATATAATATAATATAAGAATGTATCGTGCTGTGATCTTAGCTGCAATTCTTTTCTATTATGAAATGTTTATATGACTACTGTATAACAAATCAACAAATGTATTTAGTACTTTATTCATCAACTAATAACTAAATTGGAGTCGAACTTTCAAACATTGCCTTAGTTTGTACAAATAAGTCAATAAGTTAAAATTCCGTGAATACTGGGTAATTTATTATTTATATGTATTTACTTGTTTCATTACACAATATAACACTATAATCTACTGCAATTCAAAACAAATTTACATTTTTTTATATTGAAACGTAGAAATTTATGGGGTTCACATTAATTGTTCTTAGCTTATAAATTTGAAATAAAAACTTCACCAATATTTTCAGAATTTTTTATTTTATGATGCCTTTCGCCAGCTATGCTGGCATCATCAGGATGCCAGCATAGCTGGCAAAAGGCCTCATAAAATAAAAAATCGTGAAAATATTGGTAATGTTTTTATTTCAAATTAATTTTAATTCAAATTTTATTCAATCCATTATCACCAGTTCTTCCTTGGAGGAAAAATTTTCTTAGCTTTATTTCAGAGTCTCCCTAACTGTTTCATTTGTGTAAGCGTTTCATGAACCCTTTCAAATATTAATTTATAAAAAAAACTTGTAAATACAATTAATCTAGTAATTGTAATATAACATGCCTCTTTAAATGTTTATGTAAATAAAAAAAATGTATCAAATTGAACCTATTGTGTTACTGATCGTCCTTATTACTATAAGATAACGCGCATGTGTGCAATGTAATTATTTTATAAGAAAATGCAGTTTTAAACGTTAAAGAGGATAATGTAAACTACAATTCCATCTTCTTAGCTACCAGAAAAATCGAGGGGCTTAGTGAAAAGTTGGATTTTATTTTACTCATGATACATTAGGCCTATATCAAAATTGATATTGCTTCATGTTTTTTCCGTTTTGGATAAAAAAAACAAAAGAAGAATATTGTATACATTATTTTATATTTTAACTATATACAACATTAAAAATCCCAAAATGGGCGTTTGAATGTGTAGAGAGATGAGACCACGATAGTGGGATAGTAACATCTGTAAAATCGATCCTGTGCTGCACCTGAACTTTCCGATGACGGTGGGGGGGGGGGGAGGAGGGTGTTCAAAAACCTCCCCTCGAATGGGGATTCTATTAACTGCCACTAAATACTGAATCAACACCTTGGAGAGCAAATTGGTCCATAGGGGTTGTAAGTGCAAAACAAACACTGGACTTTAAGTTTCCATTTGAGATTTATTGATTTAACAGTAGTGGCATTGGTTTCCATGGAGGTTTCAAATGCAATTTCCTTTAAACACTATGTGGTATCTTTGACTATTATACTTCAGTATCTAATAGTCAATGGTAGTATGTGCAGAGCAATAATTATTATTTGATATCGAATTTTGGTAACAATCAAAAATACTACTGCCACAGCAAACCTGCAGACTAAGCGGTTTCTATGTGCCTCATAGGATTTATTCCCCGTTAAAACAACATTCGATTTAGTGAGTAGATTTGTTGCTGCTACAATTAATGTAATAAAGTAGCCTATTTTTTTTTGTAAAATGTTTATAAATTACTGTAGTTTGAAATAGCTTAAAACAATTGTATGGAAATATGTCCACAAATAAAGCAAACTACAACAGTTAGTCCATAAGACTATTATAAATTTTAAATTTAGAGTTTGTTTAGTTTGTCTGTAACTATTTGCCATTTGGCACATGACAACACTTCAGTATGTTAAATTAGTAGTTTTCCGAGCTCTACGGTTTTGAATGAAACCGTTAAAGGTTCATATGATCAATGTAGGAAATTTCAATGTACCATATTCCACTGCAGGGTACCATCTGACTCAATTCTCCAATAGTCCGACCATGTTAGTCCAAGAACACTCGTTGGAATAATCCACAAATACTTGAACACCCAAGGCATAGAGATCATAAACATAAACAAATTATGTTAGTGGCCCAAAAATAAACATTATTTAAATGGAACTGTCCAAACCATAATATTATGTTAATGCTATCAGTATAGGATTCGAGCCAGCAACGTCATTTGTTTATGTTTATGACCCATACCCCATAACCGGTTCTGTTTAAGTATTCGTGGGGTAAACGTTAGTTCGCACATTTGAACAACATTTCATAAAACCGGATCATTTTTTAGAGTTATCTTGTTAGTGAATATGTAAGAATAAAAATTGAACAGATGGCATTATTTGAATCTGGTGACATCAAAATGAAAAATAAAGAAAGTCGGTCCCGGGTCTAGCCTATAATTTAAATTCCCTGAGAAGACAATATTTTAAAGGAAAGAGCTATTTCAGAGATGTATCGGTTCAGTGTGTATATTAAATACAGTGTTGAAAGCTTACTATAAAAAACTCAATACAGATTAACAAAAACTACTGTTATTTCATGAACTGAACAGAATTGTGTATATATAAAAACTAAACCAAAACATTGGCAGATGGCTGATTTAAATAATTTAAATAATCAACTGACAAAAGCAAGTAAAGACAATTCGAAATAAAGTGATTTTACCAACATAAAGAATCTCTTTATTCTTATTAAAAAACTTAACGAGGCTTTAAGTCAAGGAGAACGCTTTATGTATGTTAAAACTTGCCGATTTGAACATTTGGGACATAACCGACAGCCTTTCTACTAGACAAGCACTATATCCACTCAACTACTCAGTTTTTTCACTATTTGTATTGTACCAAAGAAAAAAAAACTCAAATACTAGAGTAACATTGTCGACGTCATTGCAATGAAGCGTTGGCCAAACATAAAACCATAGTCTATATTTACTAGATAATTGTCATCTTCAAGAATTCAAACTGGATGAAAACCTTAATTTGTATAACGATTGTCGAGAGTCTCTGAGGTTCTGGAGATCGATCGTGTATCGTGGGATCCTGGACACCTGACGAAGCGACGCCTGCGCCCGCGATGTGAACTAGCACCGGCGCCGCCGTCCCTCTCTACAATATTTATACGACAAAATGGAGGATCCGCTGCATGATACAAACCATCCGACTCAACCATAACTGCACAACATTATGTTAACAACATGCAACATGATTTTAGCAGGACTCAGTGTGAAATAAGTGAAATATCACGATTTTTAGTTGTAAAATGAGTTGCAACCTAACCAGCTTAGCGTAATTCTTCCACAAAAGTCGTCAAAATTCAGCAATGTATTATTCGTGTAGTTTGGTAGATATTTTAAAATGCTAAATAAAAGTATCCTAAAGTTGTTCTATAAAATCAACATTTTTTGTTATTTAAATTAAAAAGATAAATTGGCCGCCATTTTGAAATTTTGGATTGGAACGTGGTATTTTTTTTACATAGGTCTTGTCATAAAAACACACTCACTTAGGTTAGTCTGGACTTATTTACCAATTTACCAAGATCCATAAAGATCGGTTGAAAGTTGAAACAATTAAAAGATACAAATGTTTATTTAAAAATTACGAAATGATAGATATTTAGTTAACTAAGCGATTTTGGGGGACACTTTTCTTTTTTATTTTCCCTTTATTTCGACCTAAAGAACCATTTCCTGGAGTTTGGCTGTTTACTTAACTACGGGACACCCTGTATTCGACCCATATGAAGTCGCGAGAAAAGAGAGATAATCAATCATACACGAACAAGAAGATTTGAATTTACTATTAAAACATCATCCCTAAGACGATAAAATAGTCTTTTTTTACATAGTAAAACAAAATAGTATCCAACCCAAAGAATCAATGGTTTATCATAAGCATTTATTGTCACTGAGCGGAGCGATCTTAGCTCTTACGTTGACACTAATGTATTTCGTTATACCATTGACAGTGTTATATAGTCAATGGTTATACGTAACTCCTCTAGATGGCAGATGCAACCGTTTTCAAATTTTGCATGGTTCAAAAAACTCTCATAGGAATCCGCAACACGAGGTCTCAAAGTGTTTCAGTATTTGGCACATAATAAAAGACCATATGATTGGCTGTAAACTTAAATGAAACAGCTGTTGACATCAGGAAACAGCTGAGAGTATTGTAACTGTGTAATTACGGATATTATAACATAAAAGGTATGGGTCATAAACATAAACAAATGACGTCACTGGTTCAAACCTTATAATATACTAATACCATTAAGATATGGTTTGGAATTTTTTTGACAGTTCTATTTAAATAATAATACAAACATAAGTCTAAACTAAATTCTGCCCTTAAAATTAAATTTGCTCACGAATAAACCACCAAAGAGTGTTATTTTAGTTCTAGTACTGTCTTCCAACAGTAATATACTTTAACACTTTACAATGAAGTGGTGACCATACAAAATAGGTATTTTAAGCCAAGTATGAATGGAGATGAGTATAGGATGAGTGGCGCGATCTTGTAGTCTTGTTGGTGACTAAGGCCGACATATTGCTTAGATACAGCTGTTAACTAGTAGTACGCTTATTCTGCGCGTAACGGGATGAGTGAACATGAGCGCAATAATGAAAGAGTCCACCCAAACCTAGCATACTTACCGGTGTCACTGGTGAACACAAAAATGTAATTTGTATCGGCAAATCAACCCATGAGTCGGGGCAAATAATGGTGAGTCGGTGGCTCAGTCGGTAGCGTCACGCGGACTTCGGGCCCAAGGCAGCGATGTCGTGGGTTCGGATCCTGGTCACAGCCACTAAATTTCAGTTCACCTTTGTCCTGTACCGGCTCACCCCTTGCTTTGCTGTAAACGATCCACGCACGGGCGCTTAGTCTATGTGGACGGGCAAATGCAAGGTTAAAAGAGGCTGCCAGTGCCAACCTCTAAAAAAAACCAAATCTCAGTCAACAAAAATCCTAACTTCTTGTCCATTAATTAACCAAAGTCATTGGTAATATACGTAATGTATTTCCTGTTTCCCTCTCTTCTCATAGCATTTTATTGTTGCAGATACATCAATCTAACTGTCAAAGAGTTCCCATCACAAAGAGTTCCCACACTCTGGACTGTTCACCTTGACTACTTCCTTCACCACTTCCTACGTCGTGGACCTGTTTCCCTCTCTGCTCATAGCATTTTAGTATTGCAGATACATTAATCTAACTGTCACAAAGGTTTTCCACACTCTGGACTGCTCGCCTTGACTACTTCCATCACCGCTTCCTACGTCGTGGACCTGTTTCCTTCC